AAGGGAGTACCCACACTGGAACGAGACTAACTGTTTCCTTTGCGAGCCAGAGACATTTTGACTTCTTCAATTGCGAGACCGAGACTTCAAAGTGTTTTAAATGCGAGCTCGAGACGCACAGGTTTTAAGACGTTCATATAAAGAAGACCAAACACATCGTTACTTCGAGATTTCATTAGCCTTGAAAAAAATTGGGACTGCGAGACGCATGTAACCGCTGAAAAAAGCCAGGCTGTGATACCCGTGAAATTGGACAAACATTTTGCCAGACCCATGGTTTTTGAGTGACGATTCGCCACCCCTTAAAAAATATCATCTTGACTAGTTGAATTGGCCATTCCCAAAATAACATACACTGTAACGACCATACGTCAACAATCAACGAGATATATCATTTCAGCTGAGTACATTTGTTTCCTTTCAGCAAGTGAGAACTGCTTGCAAGCATAGTAAATGAATTGAACTGAGGTATCTAAGTTCATTATGGTCATTATAGCTCGGGTGTTGAAGCGCAGTATATAATAGAGATTAAATAATGCTGGGCAAAAAACGTAGAGCAGTTCAATCACGGCATTATGAGTTATTTTGGCCAAGTACAAAGTTACCTTTAAATTGAAGGAAACCTGAAAGTAATAGTTTATTAAGATAGAAAACCACCAAAGAGGTAACAATAAACCATAAAGGAAAAAGGATGGTTAAGGATGGAGAAAATTAACTCAGATTACAAACGAAGAATTGAAAAATGTAGGCTAAACTTTTCAAGATGCGCAAATTCCTTTAAAATGAGGGTCTACCAGCGTAAATGAATTATGATATTCAGTTTGCCAGGGCAGGACTAATAAACAGTTATAACAGGAAAGAAGCTAATCCCCTGAAATAATTCCGTGGGCTTTTAGACTAAGCTTCATGGATTTTTTCGTGCAAACAAATGAAACTTTCATTGGACTTCACAAAGAAATGCACCCACACTATTGCGCTCCAACGAATGGAGATTCATGTAGATCAATCCACCATATTTGGCCTGTGTAGAGTTTGTTTACATTTGTCTAATTTCTTCTCTCTGTGTCGCGGCTTGATTGAGTTTAATTGGTTTTTATGGTGCTCATCTATAACAGTAACAAAATTGGTGTTTAAGATCTGTTTCTGTTTAGCTTTTCAGAGAGGATGCAATCACAACTAACAGTCTATGAACTGACGGAGGCAGGCCGGTCTCAAGGCAGACACATTTGCCTTTAATAATGGTAGTTTATATATTTCGCAACTTAATCTCAGTTTCAAAATCACGCTAAACAAAACAACTTCAAGTGGAAATGAATATCTGTACAAACTGACTGTATTACACGCCAAGGCAGGCGATAAGCATTTTGACAGTGATAGCCGGAATACTGACCATAAAGACTATAATATCTGGCTATAAATACTTAAACTAGCCATTACTTTTCAGTTTAAAACGCTCGTCAAGTTATGATTATGCAAGCAGCGAAAGCTAAGGTAACCAAATTCATTCTCCGAAAAGCTAACAAATAATATATAACCTAGCTGCTCTCCCATTCAAGGAGGTCACAGTCAATACTTGCAAAACCCTCGAAGACTGATTGAAAAAGAGATCTATTATTGACCAGACGAAAGATTGACTTGTTGACCTTCGTGGAGAAAATTAACTCTAGAAACAGTTTAAACTGAAAGAATCAAAGCTGTCCCATATCGAGAGCTTAACTAAGAAGCGAAACAAGTCGTTTTGTACTCAGTACCGAACTGTAAAAACAGTGCAAACTGCAAACAATGCCTTGCTCCTGAAACTCGCAGTTACAAAGTTGTCCGATTCGGGATCCCATAAACACTGGCTTGTAATCTCCAGGCCTTGATCGCGTATTTCGCCGATGTAGACGACAGATACCACCTTAGTCTCCGGTGGAGTTATTTCCTTGACGCGCGACTCCACCGCTTGGCTAATAGCCGCACATTGCGCGACGCATCTTTGACTGTCATAGTCACAGTCCATCAGAGAACTGTCCAGCTCTTCTGTTATAATGTGTTTGATGACTTCTTGTGATTCCAGATCGTCCTGGAAATCTTTTAAATCTGCGATGTCGTGAGCTGTGTTCAGCGGAAGGGTGAACTTCGGTGAGCAGCTGAAGCTAAGCCCACTCGATTCGTCTTCCGCGCCGTGCCACGTTGACGACCGCTGTCGTTCGACACAGCTTGCAATTCCAGATGCGATGGAATTGATGCTCGTTGTACGAAGACGTTCCCGCTTCTGCTTCCTTAAGAATGGCTCCACGGAATTGAGCGTCACAGATCTTTTCCTAACTGCTGTGGAGGCGCTCATGATTCGTGCCCGGCGTCAAAAGTATATATCAACTGTGTAACAAAGAACAAATTCAAAATCAATGTTCGCGCCCGGCTCTTGCAAGCCTACGGATATATGCTTGTTTAGTTAACACTGTCTTTGTTTGGCGCCTCGAGCGCGGTGTCATCCAGATGATATACAATAAATCGGTTTGGTGAGAACATGCCTTTTAATGACCCCGCTATCAGGTACAAAGACGTCAACGACCGAGGTATTTTTACAGCTTTTCTGAATAGAAATGAAAAGTTCCCGGTATTGCTGATATAAGAGGATTACAATAATCCCTCTTGATATGGCTAAAATATTCATGGTTCAGGTTGTAAAGGGACAGATCTGTCACGCTCTCGTAAGAAAATTTTCAACACAGATATTTCGGTTACGTCGTCTAGTTTCCCCTATCAGTGGATTTTTAAAAGTATTTTGAAGTCATAGATTTAGGGCATTTGAGTTATTCCGGCAGAATTAAATCCAGATGGTAGATACTTACAGTTCTTTAGCTTCACATGCAGTTGTTGCGAGAAACTGTCGAGCCAAGTCTTCTTTACAGAACGCAAAGGGTGATGTGCTGGACTGGTTGAGTTCCAATGTAATCTTTGAATCGCCGAACGTGAAGAACTCTCCTCATGACTACGATAGTCGGTTAAAGGTCGCATCACCGCCGAGGAAAATTTCATTAGAAGCGACTTTTAATTAAAAGCCGGTTGAAAACCCCAAGCCCTCAGAAACACTGATCTCATTAAAACTTATTAAAGAGAACCAGGTGTCTTGGGCTAAAGTAAAAGATCTTAAATCCTCTCCTCTTTCATTCAGATGTCCCCACTCCTTTTCTGGGTTAAAATATCACTCCGTGGCAAAATTGTTCCATTCACCGCGATTCAAGTAAACCATGGGAAAATATATACACATTACATCCTATATCAAGTTTATCGACTCATGAAGGAATTTGGGAACAAATATTTCATCATGACCCTGATGAAATGTAATTATAAGTTATTTTCGACCTGTTCATGACAAGATTTTCGATTCTGTTAAAAGTATGTTACTTAGGAAAACTCAAACACAATGTTATATAATACTTGAAAAAGTTTTCATTATATGTGAGTTTGTGCCCACCTAATAGTGCTATAACCAACTGAAGACGTGTGTTTTATTTTTATGTTCTAATTCTATAAATGCTGACACGGAGCAAATACCTTTTTGCTTGCCAAAAAACAAAAAAAAATAGCACCAGACCTTCAGGAATCTTCACGCAATCTTCCGATTATCTCACAGCAATCGCAGTAAAACGAGCCTAACAAGCAAAAATCATCCTATGAAAACAAAAATCCATTAGAAAGAGAAATCTAGAAGAACAACGAAGGAAAACCATCTGTGGATACTATTGAATTCAATGTGAAGGGTCTAAGTTAAAAACTGAGCAATGACTACATGTCATCCCCTTTTGAACAAAAACATCCAAGAAATGATATGTAAAAAGTAAAATGTTTCACGTTTTTATCCAACCACGAAACGCTCAAGTAAAGCTGGTTTAGTAATTAAACTTGGCGAGTAAAACTCTCCAGTTAAATCGTGACCCCACGTCAATACAAGTGGTTTTTTTGGTATAATTTCTGGACTTGCTGGACTGGACTCACGTTTAGCCGGGCTCCACACTTTGATAAACAAAAAACTGTATTCAGTCAGACCCCACCCCCCCCNCTCCCCTTATTTTGGGTCAAAAAAAAAAATCGCAGAAGGAAAAGCCGGCAGGGCAAGCAACGGCCCCCCCTTCCCCTCTTAGCTCAAGGTCTAGATCCCCCACTGGTCGGTGGTGGCCTGTGGTATTGGTCAGCCATGTTTTGTTTTCCTGTCTTTTTGGGGGGTTGTTGGGTTGTTTTTTGTTTTTTTTTTCTTTTCGGCCGCTATTGACTAAGTTTTTTTGTTTGTTTGTTTGTTTTTGTTTTGTTTTTTTCGGCTGCCATCAACCGAAAAACATTCAATGTAATTGAAATGAGTGTGAATAAGTGGACTTGACTTGAACTTTTCAGTTTCATCTGTGATTCCGGTTAATGTATCTTATCCTTAATTCATCTTCTTTTTTCTTTGTTCTTAGCTCTGTGGCAGTGTTTTCTTTGTCTTTGTTTATTACTATTTTGAGGTTTCCCGCCCTAAATTCCAAGATCATTTCTAACGGAGCAAGACAAACTATATCTCCTAAACAAATAAACAAACAACCAAACCAATAAACAAACCAGTAAACAAACGTTAACAATCGAAGGAAACTGACAAAAGGGAATCGAGCAAACAGAGAGAAAATTGAAAATGCTACTGAACGACACATAGGCCTTATTCCCGATAACCGCCATTTTTGTTTTTACATTATAATGCAAATCAAGCACGTGATTTCTGAGGGGGCAAACAAGTTAAAATCGGTAAATTTCAGCTGGTTTCTTCTCATGTCTGATAATGTTTTTCATATCCATGCATTGGTTTCAGTATTGGGGTGAAAATATTCCAAGTTTTACAGAATTTCGGCGCTTTTATAAAAAGAAAACAGCTCGCGTAGTTAATAAGTCAAGTTATGAAGAAACTTTTTCAAACTTAAATTGATAATAAAATCATTATTTCATAACTTGGCTCCTAAATATGATTTTGGTACAGATACTTAACCATTTAGGCGAGCCGATTTTTTGAAAAGTGGAAACCATTTCAATGTTTGCCACCTGGCGGACAACGTGGCTGATTTGCATTACAATACGAAAACCATCATGGCGGCTATCGTGAATATGGGCTATTTCCAAAGACAGGAGCCCAAATTAAAGATCAGAGAGAAAATTGTAGGAGAGAAAAGCCTTTTTCTCATTCCTACCATCAAGTATTAAACCAAGAAACAAATAAACAGCAAACAAACAAAAATAACTGAACATTTTCGCTGACCATTTGTTTAAGCTGTATCTTAGAATGCCATCGAGAACCTCGACCTATATCGACCAAGTAACGTGGCCAACATTTCCCGCGAAAAAGGAGCATGCAATCGAGGCATTTGAATCTCAATACAGTGACACCCAATGCGTCGTTTGCATGTATTCAGTTGGCGCGTGTTTTGAACAGTACGCACTCTTGGGTGTAAGATGATTAGTTCGGTAACTCTATGAGGTTCTTAGAATTGAGATTGCGATAAGGTCATCACCAGATAGATTGCCATTAGCCACAAAACCAGATTATGAGCATAACCATCGCAACATATTGCTCAGACGTGTCAGCTTGATTAAGTCTTTATCAAACACCTGTCAGTTAAATTAGCATCTCAATTGTTTTAACTGCACGTTTAAAGTGACGCTTTGTTTACACCTCTATACCAAATTAACATCTCATTTATCCAACGAAATCCATTGGTGTTGGTGACAAGTAATTGCGATATAAGTGGAAGTAAGGAAACACTTTCCATTGTCTCAGACAAAGGGTTTCACACCGGCCGGAAATGGTGCCTTTTATAGCTTTATTTAATACGTAGATCAAGTTGAACAAAGAAAATGGTTTCACCTCACTGGCCACTTTAACGGAGACGTGAGCAGAACGTGAAAGAAACACCGTTGAAAGTTTAGCCGGTAAAAGCTTACAACGACCCTTCATAGCGGGAAGTGACCTCTGAAATGCCTGCGAGTGAGGCATCTAGCAGACGCAGTTCGGTGACTGCGGAGGCACAAGGAAAGCCATCTGTGAATATACTTGAACCCGGCGCCAGACAAGTGCGCACGCATTCCGCTTCTTCAAAAGCAACCAGAAGAAAATCCGTAACTATGTATCCAAGATCGCACCAAACAGGCCAGAGTGAAATTCCAAATCCATTGCCGCCAAACATCGCCAATACCTACAGATTGGGACCTGACAAGGACAAACGTTTTTGCTGTAAGGATGTGAAGGACGCCATCGACAGTGTTTTGGAAAGCCAGCTCAAAGGACTGCCTTACGATCCTGAAAAATGTAAGAGTATGCTGCCGAGCATAGCAGACGAAATCAAGGACAAGGTCAAGGTGCTGGGCTTCGAGAGATTCAAACTGGTATGTATCGTTACCATCGGGCAGTTGAACAATCAAGGCATACGAGTGGCGAGTAGGTGTCTTTGGGACACCGAAAATGATCGCATGGCAACGTCTTCGTACTGTGGCAATGATCTCTTCGCTACAGCAGCCGTGTTTGGAATATATCGAGAATAGCGCCGGTCAGTCATCAAGTGTGCGTACCTGAGTGATTTCCACACAAGTATTGGGTGGTGTGTTGTGCTTGGGCAATGCTGACCTTAATCAATTCTAGAGTAAGCGTTGCTTTGCTTTCACATTTTTTTGTTATGAAAACGACGACCCGGATACAAAAGGGAAAATTCTCCTATCTCGCTGGAGGCTTAGTAAAAAGCTTGAAAAGTAAAAAGTATGTCTAGTGATATAGACGGCCACGATTTGCCTCTAAACTTGAAGCTACAAATTTATTTTCGTATCTGTCTCTGTCTATTTTGTCGATGCTTCGATATTCAAGGTAGTATTATCACGTTCATAAACTCTCAAATTATTTTGCTTGTGTTACACTGATGCACTTCCGCTTTTTGAGACTACATCAGTTTATTTTATATATGTGTGAGCGGCGTGAGTTTTGGCACGAGCGAATATTCACCATGTTCGATTTTCTCAAGGCTTTTCTAACACTTTCACCCGAAATTTGAAACTATTTAAAGTGCTTCTTCTAAGCCAAGTTTTATTTTCCGAACTGCGAAAACCAAACAACAACACCACGTACACTAGGCTTTCATTTACAGCAGACTTCATTTAGAGTTATTAACTGACTTGAAGTTTGAAAGACTTGAAGGTCTGACTAGATAGAGCTCTATGTATTCTCATTGTGTTTGTCTAGCCTCCTGTGTTTGTAGTGCTCTTAGCGGTATCTTTCATCTTGTACCCTAGATTTCTTAGTTTTAAGTCTTTATGATATTTGTTTGCTCGATATCGTGGTGGGATGTTAATTGGATATTATATTGGTTTTGCGAAGAAAAAACCCCTCGAGGGAAACTGATCACGCCATAAACGTAGAGTCTCCATGGAAACCAACTGGACTTTACACGACTCATTAAGGATCGCACGCGTGAAACATGTGTTTTCTGAATAGTTCGCTGTGTTCAGCGCAATGTAGAACAGTCGAGATGTTGGCAAATGCATTGCACGGGTTAATTGACCGGAAAAGTAGTCTTCACTGTGATCACTGTCTAAGTTATTTCATGGGTTTATTTATTTTTTCAATGCTTTCTTATATTAAATTAATACCGCTAGAAAGGAAAAAAAGTAGTCATGTATTAAGGGAGCTACTTCATGGTTTGCCGCATCTTGAAACGTTTGGGCTAAATCTCTCAAGTTCGTCGTTTGTAATCCGTGTTAATCACTCCATCCTTAACCATCCTTGTTCCTTTATGGTTTATTATTATCTCTTTGGTGTTTTACTATCTTAGTAAACTACTATTTTCAGGTTTCCTTCAATTTAGAGGTAATTTTGTACATGGCCAAAACAATTGAAAAAACCAGACTGAGCTCCTTTCAAAGTATTATTTAAAGAACAGATCACAAATTTTGGCTGGTTCTGACTTGGACCTCTTAAAACAGAACAGGTATACCGTATCTAGTGACTGTATACATTTCGTAGTTATGTGAAATTTGTGGTTTTCCCATCACTTTATACATGGTGTTGAGGGGTGTTCTTAATCGAAGTTCCTTGCTGTAGTATAACAGATTTTTAACGACCCAGAATTTTAAATGGTAGACTGCTGGACAGTCTAGACGTAGTAGGGTTGTTTTGCCTTTCGTAAGAGTTTTCTAATCTGTCTGAAGTTGATCAGCTTAGTTTATGTGTAGACTGAAAAACTACCGTGCAATGCATATGTCAGTAATTGAGTGGGTCAAATATAAGTGTGCAAATTAAAATATGTTTTGTAATATAGCAATGTTGTCTCTATGAAGTGAAAATGTTATTGCAGTGACAACGGTTAATTTGGGTACTTTATAAAACCTGTCGTTTAGTGCACCAAATTAACTGAAGTCAGCGTGCCTTTACCTGAACTGTCTTCTTGCAGCAGACTAACCAATGACCTCCTCGTATGAGAGGAGGGCTTAATGTGAAGTCCGTTATATCTCTCTCTAATCTCACTGATGATTGAAGTTAGTCAATAAGCGGAAAAGAAATTCAACAGTTATTTACAAAATACTGGTGTTATGCCAATATGGCCTGCAAACAAAACTAATCGATGGCTCTTGAATTAAGAGCCCAAACGTTCTTCAGTCCCCTTGTAAGATTCGGTACTACAGGGTGTTATATTGCCGTTTTCACATGACGTCACTAAAATTCAAGCTACAAAACCTCCATGATGTATAAGAGCAGCTGAAAACTAATTTTCATACAAATTTTTGCCCCGAAGGGGTTCTTGGTTTTGTGATAGACTGCGCTTGAATTTCTAGGTTTTTGCGTGACGCGGCATTTACGTGACGGCCGAGAGAGCTGTCATGTTAGTTAAAAATGTGACTTAATTCGGGTAATTTGGCTATCTGAACAGTTCTTGTATTAGAAAAAGTATTATTTTAATGTTTTTGAGTTCCTCGAGAGATAAATTCACCCTTTTGTAGCAAAACTCAACGACAGATGTTTCTGTTGGTTTCCGGCCGCCATGTTGGTGCCCATCCGGATGGGCACCAGCATGGCGTCTCCATACAAATCTCTACAAATTTGGGTAAAAAGTTTCTCCGCATATCTTGCATAAGAAAAATTGCTGTGACCTGAATCTTGTCGAGAGTCTTTGAACATTTACTTTCTATCTTTTCTCAGCTTCTGGACTTTATCTATTGAACGGTTTTGATTTTTATTTTGATCTACTTTGAATGGCGTGACACTGAAAACCAGCAATAGAGACAACGAATACAGGCAATATTTCAAATCTGCTTCGCAGTTTCGATAACAAATTATCATAATGCTTGCGTGTAATCAGCGCGTGATTAGATTTAACTTGGTTCACTCCGGACTCACTGACTACAAACAAAAGTTCCCGTGCTTAACCCGTGTCTGTGAAATAATAATAAAGATAACGTGTTATACAGTTAACCGTCACGCAATGGGAGAGTGTCGTTTACTCCATCGCAACTTTCACCACTTTACTCAGTTGTACATGGTTTAATTTTCTTCGGCCAGTTCTGCTTATGCTCTTGCGTCTTAATCCGCGTAAACGAATTTGAATGAGCTCGGCGCCGCGAATCAAAACGAAAATATTGCTGTTTTCTCATTTAATCTCGCCTTGGGGGGTTCATTTATCTCTAATCTATAATCCGGTCAATTGCAGTTATTATTAAAAGTCAAGAAAAGCAAACCGGTTTTCCCTGTTACCACAGGGATGCCAATAGAGTTTTTGGAGATCAAGTCTAGCCTAGTTCTTACGACTTCTTCCACAGTTGGTTTTGTGCCGTTTGTATTTTAGCGCTCTTTAAAAGAAGTGAGGATTATCTATTTGCCTGATTTACTCTGGTGTGTTTGGGTCACTGAACGAGGAAAAAATGAGGAAAACTGGGGCAAGCCTTTCTCCGAGGCCTTAAACTCGTTCCCAATCCCCTCCAAGCGAGCGTTTAGCGGATCAATGAGAAGAATGACACACACTCCGGCCTTATTTTCCCGAATCTTGGCTCCTAGAGGGGAGAAAATAACGGGAAAATAAGCGGTGTCCCAGAACCCTCAGTGTGTGTAAAACATCGGGCAGTCCAGAAGTATTAAGGTCTATCCCTGGCCAAGCGGCCATTTCAGTAACCTAGACCATAAGATTTGCAGGCTTGCAGACGACCCTGCTTAGCACGTTCCCGTCTGCTTGATTAGGGTTAGCTCTCAATCAGAGTGGTAATGGAAAAACTTTAAAAAAATGTCTGCAGCTCTAAAATCTGAGGTTTATTTTCTCCCCTGGATTTAATGAAAATTTACAACACCATTTTATAGGGGATATACCTGTCAACGCAGTTTTAATCTGTGGATTTCCAGCCGATTACCGGTTCAAGTTTTATAACAAGCTTAGTGAGCCAGCCAAGTGCTATGGTTTCGTGCAACTCCCCATTCACGGCTGGACTGACGTGCGCTTGCCATTTAAGGAAGCAGCACATTTAGACTTGGACTCAGCTTAATGAGACTGGTAACCAGTGGTGATTTTTCCAACAATTTTCACAGGTTTTTTTTTTTTTTTAGCAAACAATAGCTGTCACGCAGGAAGTACGAACATGTACGTACACTGGCCTTGTAGAGTAGAGACAAGAAATATTATAATAGCTTGGTAATTTTTATTATGACCAATGTACCATAAATATATATATTGATTATACACGATTATGTAGGAAATACCAATAACCTTTTTTACAACAATTTTTTAAATTTAAAATTACTCTAAATTATAAAATTCAAATTGATACCGTTTCACTGTTTAAAATGATCGGCTAATTAAATATTGGGTATTTTTCTAGTTATCCGCTCTTCATCACCTGTCAGTTTAATACTCGTGCATAGTCTTCTGAAACTAGGAACAACGAATATATATCTCATACAGCGTTTCTGACATCATTTACAGAATGCTTTGCTGTACTGTTCCCTTTACAACTAAGAAGTACAAATAAAGTACACATTTTTTGAAGCAGTCAAAAGGCGTGGAATTGCAATGGGGTTAGTAAGTCAATCAGTTAGTTAGCCAGTCAGTCAATCAGTCAGTCAGTCAGTCAGTCAGTCAGTCAATCAGTCAGTCGGTCAATCAGTCAGTCAGTCGGTCGGTCAGTCAGTCAGTCAGTCGGTCGACCATTCTGTCCTTCAGTCAGTGTTAGTCAGCCCGTCACTCAGCCAGTCAGTCAGTCAGTCAGTCAGTCAGTCAGTCAGTCAGTCAGTCAGTCAACCAGTCACAGAAGTGGAATTTGAAAGCTTGTTTACGAGATATTAGCTACTTGGATACTTGTTGACGAATCATCGCCTGTTTCATGTCGAATAAAGCGTGTTTTCGTGCCAGTCAGTGTTAATTGGCAAGGCGTGCAGCGCGCGACCCTTGACTGCTCATGCGTGACATTTTACGTGCCGACTTGTCACGGCATTCTTAGGAGTAATTGAAATTCGTCGCCATTCGAACAAGTAATTATCTCTTGATATCATTATCAGTTTATGTGAACTAGAAAGTATGCAGTTAATTATATAACCCTTCCACTGACCAAAGAATCGTGGCTAAACATTGTCCTCGTATTCTCCATCTCAAATGCAACGTTCTTTAACCAAGTATCATTTTAACTATGAACCATTCTTCAAACTTTTGCATACATAAGTTTATACTGAGATATTTACGAATATGAACTTTATGATATGACCATTAAGGTATCTGCTCGCCCAACCTGTTGTAGCCTGCGCTCGTCAAAGATATTGGCGCAAAAGTGACTTTTAAGTATCTACCTCTTTCGGCTGTAAGACGATCCATTTGTCATGTTTCTTATTTATGTAAGTTATTTTGACTTCTTTAGTTACAAATTCACCTTTCTGTTTTGTTTGGCAAGCATTGTTGAAGTTACAAACTCCTTGTTTACGTTTTGCGATGCGTAAGTTTGCCATCCCATTATCATTTCTCCTCGTTTGCATCAGCTTTTATGCCCGCAAGCATAAATTCCTCGGGAGCTAGGTTTTACTCAGGGATAGGAGAGTGAATCGCATTTTTGATGCTCTTGATGCATTTCTCTCTCTCCGACCTCTTCTGGGCGTAAACACCATACACCGTGGCAACCGCAATGAGATCGTCGTTCTTGTAAATATACTCAGCAAAACCGTCTTTGTCAATGCCAATCACTCCCTCATCCCAAGCACAGCCGCTTTGTATGGCAGGGGCTGGCTTCAGCTTCTGTGTAATGTAGCACGTACATATAAACTTATACTTCTTCATGTCGAGTGCGACGACTCTGTCGCGAAGTATCTTGACGAGTTCGCGCGTAGTCGCCGCGCATTCGCCAGCCACATACCTCTTCCCGCTGAGTTTGCTCTCCAATACGTCTCGAATGACTTTGCTTACGTTTTCTTTGACAAATCCACTCGGAATCTTCACTTTTTCAGGGTCGACCGGAAGAGAGCGTGATCGACTTCTCAAGGGATAATCAGCGTGTGTCACGACGGCAATTCCACGATCATCGTCCCGTACCGTGGGTCGCTCTTGTGCGTCGAACAAAGAAGTCTTTCTTTTCCTCACAGCAGTGTTCTTTGCTAGAGTTATTCCCTCCAGGTCATGAATTAACTTCTTGGCAGAAATCTCAGACTCCATATCGAAACAGTTATCAAAAGAGTTGCTCGCAGTAACGAGAGACACACCTCCTTCACACCTTCTTTGTGGGTCTCTCCGCCGAATCGAAGTTTTTTATAGTTTCTCAGGATAAGCCCTTGTTTCCGTTCGTGTTCCTTAATCCGCGCTATTGAAAAACTTGCTCACGTAAGCGACTACGTTGCACAAAACACGATAGTGATAGTTCGTGTGGTTGGACACGCAAATTCACGTTTGACTTGCATCAGCAGCTACAATGTTAAGAACTTTTAATCACAATGCGCGCCTTGTTTATGACCTTTCAAATGTAAACAAAATTCCAAACAAGATAAACTGTGTCTACTTAAATGTTTGGCCCCAGGTCACTGAAAAAATAATCGCGCGGTAGAATCCTGTCTTGGCTTGTTTTTGTAAGAAAATGTAAACGGTTTATTCGCTAGATTGTCCCTTTTTCGTCAAAACAGGCTCAAAATAACTAAAGAACCACCGCGGTTTCACAGAGTATTAAAAGCGCTTCTAATTAGAGCACTTCACTTATTGCGGTCGGTCGGATACAGTAATTAAAAAGAAATGTTTGGGTAATGGCATCCTTTCTACAACCGGTAAAGCCCGTTTTAATTTCGAGTTATTACTCAACAGACATGAACAAGAAATTATCTTTCCATCTTCCCACTTTCTTTTCGTGGTGATCTCATTACCCCTAAATCAGAAATTGGTGGACGCAATTGTTTTAACATGGGTTTCGCGTCCGCAGGAAGGCAATTCACGACATAAAGAAAGAAAAAGAAAAAGAAAACAATAGTAATCAAGAGCATTGCATGACCCTTCTGAAAGATTGGCTTTCGTGCGTGTCCGCCGGAAAGGAATACATAGTTAAAGAAAGGAAAAGAAAGAAAGAAAACAACGTTGCATGACCGTGTTACGAGAGATGGCACTGACGTGATCGCGGGTCACGAAATACTTCAAAATTGTTTCAGTAAGCGCTATATCTTGAATACCGATCTCTTATTAGCTACTCACTATCTTTTCAAGATAGTGGTGAGACTAGCACGCAATGTGCGATTGTTAACAAAATGGCAGCTGTTTCTTTGCACTTTCGACTGCGTCTTTGAAGAGCATTTAGATGATAAAATTTTGAACGACCAGTAGATTTGTACTAAAAAATTAGATTATTCACTCTCGAGTTCTCAGCGTGATCATAGACGAGAGCTGCACCCTTGTCAACTATCACGCGATATCTCGAGCTCGTAATGTAATTGTTTTTTGTTTTTTTGTTTTTGTTTTTTTGTTTTTAAAAAAAGGCAAGTTGAATCTTTTCTCAAGACCTAAAATTCTAATTTGAACTTCTCATCTGCTGGTATTAAACCTTCGTCCCACTTGGTGCTTACTTATTTTCATCTAAATTAATATTCTAAATTGTGACTTGCTTCAATGCACAATGTTTAACGGATGCGGCCAATTGTAAAGGAATCAGTGTTATTCCCTGTTATTCTTCAATTCTTCAATCTGCATTGCACATAAAGTATTTGTGTCAGCTCCTTGCGAGATTTTACGAAGGTTGCACGGCTGGTCCAGAGGTTTTTTTAAATTCTGATTAAATTATTTCCGCATTTTGATTGGATCTAGTTTCGATCAATTACATGACAGGCGAAAGATTACGTCATAATCGTTTCTTCATTATATTATAAAACTAATAGATTCCATGTTGCCGTGCGTCTGTCCTGTAACTGATCACCGTGACAGAAGACGTCATAATGTGATAAGAACAATACTAAGTGTCTCACTAAGCGATAGCCCATACATTCCCATAGGAGAGTCTCAGTGGGGTTAATCGTTGGCCGTAAAACGGAGCAAAAATGCAGCCGGTTACTCTTTTTGCCGGGAAAATGGCAAAAATTAGCCATGAAAAACACTAATCGTTAAAAAAAAAAAAAATTAGACCCAGAAGTGGTAGTCTCAAGTTGTCTCGTCAATACCTTTTGTATCTTGACATTTGGGCTTGGTATTTTAACTCACTATAGCAGTAAGCTGTATTAGTCTACAATTCATATAAATGATATCTTGTTCCATCCCTGGATGGTCCTAAGACCTTAAATATGTTTTACAGCAAGCAAAACAAATTTTCAACTTTTTTAAACAACGACAATTGATCTTTAGAATGAAAACTAGCGAAATTAATAACGGACGTTTGGCCGTCCTCACGACAGCGGAGGGAGCTTATGCTGTGTTTACATTTGAGCTTTTACCAAGGTAAACAGTTACTAAGGTCAAGTTATTTAACCTTGGTAAATTTTTCCAGTGTTTATACCGGCTCAAATAACTCAAGTTGATCTTTCAACATTCGCGCGCGCTGCATTAACAACGTCATTAAATCGAACTTGCACGAGGATCCCACCGCAGTGGAACAGGAGCAAATTGAGGTGCCATCATTTTCATAGGCGAGGACCGTATTCCATAATATTGCGGCGAAAATTCAGTTGCTTGATCATACCCAGAGAAAGCATTGTTATATGCGTAGAAACGTGGATACGTTGTGTATGCAGCATCCTCCCTGGTGGCAAAATATATCGACAATAATTACACAACAAAGAATCGAAGTCTGTCGAGAGAAAGTTGTAAGTAATACTGAGAATGAAAAATACAATGCTTTCTTTTACGCGACGGATTGTTCGCCGTAAGAAGATCGAGCCAATCTTTCCATGTTATCTGCCAAGATTGTTAAAACTGGAAAAGAAACGTTTGTCGCACAATCCGCTCACCGCGTGAAATGAAATATTACGCCGCCACAAGAGGATATATCTGTCATCTTGACCTTGGTTACCAACTGTAACCATGCCTGATCACAGGGTAATTACAACTTTTACTTCGGTTAAATTTCTTTTGTCTTTTGCGGCATTTACCAAAGTATCAGTTGGCGTTTACACACGGAAAATGTTTACCTAGGTTAGTAAACTCTGATACCTCGGTAAACCGTTCAAGTCTAAACACAGCATTAAGCAACGACGACGCCGCCGCCGAGGACGACGCCGAGTCAAATATGCAATGACAGTTTTCAATTCCAAACGGAGATATGAAAAATTAGCCGTCGTCGTTCACGTTGCCCAGACTACGAAGAACTTGGTCATTTCACGTTGTTGTTTTACAGAGGAAAGAAATGTACAAAGCTTTATAACGCACGAGCACAGCTATTGTTTTGCCCATTAAACCCTTTGTTTGGTGGCGTTCCCCCCGCCGTCGTCGTCGTCGTGGTTTGCTTAAGCTCCCTATTGTCAAGTTCAAAAGTCATTCTAAAATGTTTATCGGCGAAATCTTCTCTTATTAGAATTGATATTAAACTTTTTAAAACAATGGTAGTTAATAGGTAAGGTAAAGGTAAGGTAATTTATTTTACGTCAAGAACACGGGGAGTGGTTGCCCAAGTCTCCCGAGCCAGGGGCTCATGATAAAAGTGTTTGACATACATGTTAAAAAGAAAGATTTAAAAACTATATATTAAAAAATACAAAATTATCATACTATTAATATCTTAAAAAATATGCGTTAAAAATACAATATTAAAAAACGATAAAAATACAACATGTCTATAAAGGAATCATTTAAGACAAGAACTGCATTGGCAGCCACCAAGGTTTGTTGTATTAAGATGATTGATAAAAGCTGGAACGTTTGCTGCATTTTTTGCTGCCGGCGGTAACTGATTCCAAATTCTAGAGATGATATAAGAATACGAGCCGTGGAAGAATCTACTATTRTAAGGGCGTTGTTCTACGTTTAGCCCGCTGCTTCTAAGATTGTATGGCGTGACCCGGGGCTTGAATAAGTTGGTGATATAACGTGGGCCATTTTCCCTACTAGGGATTTCTAGTAACGATAAGGAGAATAGATCAATCGTTAGCCGTAGAACCCATCATCCCGTTAAGGCTCTGCATTGTTTTTACATGACACGGCAGCTATATTGGTGTCCCAAAAGGATGAAATAAACGGCGGCCATGTTGGTGTACCAAACCAATCTTGTGGAAGTTGAACTCTTTTCTTATGGAAACACTTTCTTTTGTTTCAATAACAAAGAGATTCTATGTTGCCGTGCGTCTGTTCAGTAATAATAATAATGACGTCAAAATGTGGTAAGAACAAAAAAAGTGGTGCACGAGGCGATAGCCGAGCTTGTCACTACATTTTTACTACATGTTTACTTCTTCTGTGATCTATTACTGAACAGACGCACGCACGGCAACATGGAATCTATTTGTTTTATATAATCAAGAACCAAAAAAGATGTTTATGACATCATCTTTACTTCTATCCTCGGCTCCAATAGATCATAAGCGCGAGCCAATCAGAACGCGCGAATAAATTGACTTATTATAGAAATAAATTTGCATGGCTGCTAGCCACGTGAGTGGAAATGCTCTGTTGTCTGCCATGTTCTAGATCAGTTGTTTGCGGTGTTTTATTGTTCTGAATCGTCATTTTCTGCTACGTTTTGGACCTCAAAATTAACGCCGAAAGGAAAATTCGGTTTTGCCATGACTAACACAATACTTGAAAGACTTTCTAAATTCGGCGGGAAATAGTTCGCAGCGCACGATTTGAAGGCCTTCGAGTATATAATGTTTTTTCTGTATTCTGACTGTCTGTATTTTCTATGGCGTGATATAAATGATCTTATTGGAAGCTGGAAAGCCGTAAAACAATACTATCGATATGAACAAATACAGTGCAGTGCTGCTCAGCTTTCGTCAAAGATCCTAAATTTTGGGTTACGTTTGATTCCCATTTAGGACTGGACAATAAGTTTTCTTTGCATAAAAGCAACTGAAAACCTCTGAAGAAAAGCATCCGCTGATCGCGATAAAATATAACACTTCGTTTTCGACTTGTAAGAACATTTATTAATGCTTTTATCCAGATTTACAATCTCGCTATAAGTACAAAGGGATCTTATACAACTTTCACATCCGAGTTAATATCCGTCAGTTAGCAAATCAAAACATTTTGTTAATTTAGACGTGTAAGCTTTTAAAATTCGGGTGTGATAACTTAAAATATTATAATCTATTGTCATTAAAATATTATTACAATTAACCAGTGACAGTAACTTATATTTTACTCTAATGTAGTTACTATTTTCCTCGACAGTTAAGCTCAGAGGTTTACAATCTATCTGTATAAGTTTGTTTTAACCCTTGAGTTTAACAAACGTTTTCACAAAAAGTGTGAATCTCTACTTTACTCCCGTTTACAATGCAATCTTTGTATCGCGTGCTGATGTCTGCAAATTCGCTTGATGCACAAACCTTTTAAGCTTATATACATGCCTAAAATGAATCAGTCTTTGAATTGGGCGCTGATGTCTACAAATTGCCGTGATACACAAAACTTAGACACTTGCTTTGAGCTTATATACAGGCGTAGAATTTACAGTTAAAATAGCACAGGCCAAAACACTTATCTAATGAAACACTTTATGTTTAAAACTGAGACAAAAGTGCTAAACTATAGTATGTGATGTAATTGGACAGCATGCTGTCAAGTTTAGAAATAACTGGATGAAAAAAATCCTGAGGACTGCGAAACCTGAGGCTGAGTCCAGAGGAATTTCTACGAATTGAATTATAACCAAATTCCAACAAATTACTGGTCATTTTATAAGTACTATCCAAATTAGAAATACAGTAATTTGGTAACTTAGCAAAGTTTTCAATTACTTGCGCGCACGCTTACATTGTATGGAATTTTGAGATGACAATACAACTGAAAGCAGAAATATCAACTGTAATAAAGAACCAAGATAATGGTTATAGTTATTCTCTTCATATTAGCCGTCCAACGCTTTAGAGTGGTATACCGTGGGATATCCAGCGAGTCTGCATTTTCTCGATGTACACTGACAAGCTTTAAGGCGAGTGTGTAAGTACCGAGAAAATACATTTGACAAGTTGGATATTTCCACGGTATGCCACGAGAGAGCATTGCATAACTATTTTGTACCATGTTACAGAAAATACAATGGTCAACACAATAAATGCGACACACGCGCGGCGCATGATGGGAAGGTGGGATGTAATGCCGCCAAATATACCAACGGTTTTCCTGTATTCTGATTGGCTGTATTTTCTATGGTATGATATAAAAGTGATATTTTGCAACAGCTTATATACATGACGGATTCTAAACCATATTTACAGAATTCTCTGCTTGCTTAAGGCAGACACAAAAAAGACGAAAAAGTTATCCATGATACAACTAATGTATTTGTTTTTGTAGGGAAAAAAAGCAGCAATCATTGACAGTCAAAAATAACAACGGTTAAGTGCCAAACTGAGGCCAACGAAGAACTTTTTAAGAACTCACTTTAGGTGAATAAAAATTAATGCTGCTTGTAACTTTAAATAGATTAAATTATTCGATGGGAGCACCTTTGAAAGAAATTGTTTGACTTTGTCCCATTGGGGTAGTTAATTGCGTCTCAAGTGGCACTCGAAAACAAAACCTCTTTTTATTGTCCAGAGAATAAAACACCTTTAATGATAAGCAAAGCACGTACGCGGCTTTTACGCGAGGTAAACAATGTTAGTTTCAGTCAAGTTGTGTGCGATTTGCTTTCTTGGGGCTGAAAACACACCTATTTTTACGATTTCAATCTATTTTATAAAGCAAATATTTACTTCAAGAAGTACAGGTGTTCTTAATTCTTGATTTGACTCATATTTGAGCAAATTCTTTTGCATATACATGGCCTGATGTATTACGAAAGAGTTGTCCTATTTCAGTTCAATTTACTTCGTACATTTCAGTACATTTCTATTTTTAACAAATACTGAATGTCTCATTAACTTTGACATTAGTTGTACATCATACATACCTCGCATTTCATTATATCAATAGGATGAATTGATGGTTATTATTTGAGGGCGAAGAAAATTGAGTCGGTTCAATTCCTTTAGCTCATCCATTCATTTTTCTTCCGTGGTGAAAGGTTCGATATGAAAACGTCTCCATAAACTTCTTGCCCTCTGCGAGCTGGTTCAGAGAAAGTAGCGCTTCTAGCTTTCTGCAACGGGACACTTGGAGCTGGTAACGAATCCGGTAATGCGGCACTTTTCGGGTAGCCAAGCTTTTTGCAGCAGACCACAAACACAGATGCGACGGCGACAATGTCATGATTTTTGTAGACGTAATCTACAAATGCGTCTTTATCTACGGTGCTTTTCTTTTCATCCCAGGCAGAGCCACTGTCGATCGCCAATGAAGGTTTCGCCCGCTTTGTGATATAACACAAGCAAATGACTTTACAGCCCGACAAATCAAAAGTGTTGAAAAGCTTCTCTTTCAGTTTCTTGGTAATGTTGCTCGATGCGTTAGCGCATTCCTTCGCATCGTACGACTTGAACGATAACTCCATGTTTAAAACTTGCTCCATCATTTTATGCGCGGCTTGCCCACTAAATTCTTCCTTTCTCTCGCGATTTAACGACAGCAACGACTTCGCCCTAGCTTTGGGAAAGTCTGCATGTGACAAAAAGGCGCTACCGAAATCTTCTTGACAGCGCTGAGGAACAAATAGGGATCTTCGGCGTCTACGCGCCCAGAGTTTTGCGCTGGGGATACCTTTGATGGATATACGAGCCTCTTCATTTAACGCAGTGGGCAATGGCGTCAACGTTGCCGGGTTTAAGTGAGGCTGCTCCATGTGCGTACAAGAAGTTGAAACAGGTTCCTCTCCGCTGTTGTTTCTGTGAGCCTTTGCACTGTAACCTTGTTTCACTCAAACCAAATCTCTCGGAGAACTCAACTTGTTTTGCTGAAAAGATATAACGGGACAGAGTGTTTAACAATTTTAATCTAGAATACTGAAAGATGGTTTGGGGAGCAAATATGCGCCTTTTAGCTTTATGGCCTCAAAACCTTAGTTACCTTCTTAAGATTTATAAGCTCTCGTAATCTTCTTCTAAGCTTAGTAAAATTTATATCTCAGTAAATTAATGATGCGTAATTCCGGGGTGGTAGAAGACGGACCAAAAACTGCACTGACTTGAAGTCAAGAAACGCTTACGTGCAACACTGACAACGAAAACTTCTTTGAAGTGACTTACTAGTCTTGTGAGTTTCCACTTAACAATTTTAAATAATAGAAAGCTTTATGCTCCATTTGGCCTCCAATTCCCATAGATGCTCTTAGTCCTTTCATTTAGCCTTTTCAAAGCATTGCTTCTGAAAAAAAGTAAGGCTCTTTGTTTATCTGAATTAGTTTATCAGTGACCATGGAAACCTGGAGGCTCAAAATATTACTTCTCCATAATAATTACCGCACATTTCTTTTACTGTTGTTCTGAGAATTCGCTGCGTCATGCACCAAGGAAAAATACCCTTTAGGAGATGTGTGGTTTTGTTAATTCTTGTCACCTGCAAGTTTGATATACCAGTATCGGTATTGTGGAAAGATTTTCAATACTGGCGGAGCACTCTGTCAGAAGTACTGTAAAGGTTACGTAATGAAAGTCACCGTACAAATAGATCGATAGCGAGAGAAGAATTATCTAACTTATACACATTGGCCGAGTTGTCAGCTATAACGTCAAAAGAAATTGTTGGTTAAGCAGATGTGGTGGTATAATCTGCTTTCAAACAACACCCAGTTTTTTGCAGAATTGGCACTCTGATCAGAGACGATCTCAACGATCGAAAACGTACAATTTACATAGTTTTAACAGCTTTTTACCTAAAAACTACTTAAAATATAAAATAATTTTCTTTACGTCATACCATAGAATGTACAGCCAATCTCAAAACAGGAAAGCCGTTGTGTATTCGATGGTGTTATACCCCCGCTTCCATCATGCACCGCGCGTATGTCGCATTGACTGCAGGCTGGCCACTGTATTTTTTCTGTGGCATGGTATAAATTAGTTAGGCAATGCTCTCTCGTAGTATATCGTGGAATATCCCACTTGTCACTTGTATTTTCTTGGTATACACACTCGCCTGAAAAGTCGTGTTACATAACTATAGTATGAATCAGATCGAGGGCAAAAAAGGGTTATCAGTGAAATATTTCGTTCGCCTCCACCAAGCTTCATCAGCCCCCGGCCGATGAAAAGGTTATTTCTTTATGGTATACCGGCGTATGACGTTTGGAGGGATTTATAAAGACTTAGTATTATTAAGTCGATGTGTCTGAGTTAACAAATTCCAAACACCAGCAATTCAACAGGGCCGGCCGGTTAACACTAACCTGGGATAAATAGTTAACCCTGAAGTAATAACTTTTCTTGTATGAAAATGTTTTTCACTTTTTTTGTTTTTGAATAGTTTGAGATTACTCAAATTTAAAACTGAAGGGCAAATAATATAAACAGGAAACCTAACCGAAAAACTACAAAACTGGAATTAAAATTCTCGCTAATCCTAGGTTAGCTTAATCGGGCTTTGAACAATCCGGCTCTGGCATGTAAATTTGGGAATAAAATCATCCTGTGCTATATAACCATGCAGTGTTTTAAGCTAGAAATCGAAAACACAATTTAATATTCTACAACGGGTGTTCCTTCGATTGAAGAGTTTCTGCATTTGCATATGACAAATTATAAACAATTATTGGATGAGGTTTTTGTGATATCCGGAATAATCAAGGTCGAGGTAAGTGTGACAGATGGTGACTACAATGTATATAATAACAAGAAAAAAACTCTTGTGCCTCTAGGTGATATTCATTTCCTTTTGCATTCGCTCGAGTATTGAATGTGTTAGTCAGTAAAGAAGGAGATCTTTCTCATAAAAGGTGGTTGATCCTCTACCCAACACGGCTTGCAATGTTAATTGTCAAATATGGTTCTTCTGTTCATCTTTCTTTTCTTTCTTCCAATGTGTCAAGAAATGAGTCTGGTTAGAACATAAATTTAATATTTGTGCCATTTTGGAAAATAATTCAAAATTTGCATATTGGGGCATCCCATCACAACGTTGCTGCAATTTGTTCTTCGTCAGTTAAAGCATGCAAAATGATCATTCGACAAAAATCTTTTGCTGCCCAAGCTGTGATGGCTTTCCTCACGGTGAAAATAATGCTCGTGTCACTGATAGGAAATGGCTTATTTCTCGCCATCTTCGCTCGCTTCAAGGTGTTTCGACGCAGCTTTTCGAACATTCTTTTCGCCAATCTGGCTTTGGTCGATTTGCTCAAAACTCTTGTCAACCTGCCGCTCTTTGCAGTATCCTTCATCTTGGAACCCAGCTCACTGAAAGGAAAAACATGGGCGATAATCTCTGCTTCGCTGCACGTAGAATTCGCTTTTCTTAACATTGTCTCTATGTCTGCCCTTATGTTGGACAGGTTCCTGGCGCTGCAACTCGAGTTGAGGTACTTTACATGGAAGACAACCAAAAAAGCTAAAATAGCCGTATTCCTGATCTGGCTGCTTTGTACCACGACAGTGACATTGTCCGCCGTGCCCTTGTTAGACATGGATCAGCTTGAAGGAGTGCCATTAAATGAAGCCCGAGGAATGATATTGGAGGAAAGAATACTAGTTTCCGCACCACTTACAGCTTTTTTCACGATCGCGTCAACCGTGCTTGGATTTTTGTCAGTTTTCGCCATTAACCAGAAGAAAAAAGAGGTAAAAGATTGTCATTAAATCGTATGTTTCTTCTGTGTAAATACAATTTCTTCTTAGGGATTATTGCACTATAACAATGTGGTGTGTCACGCTGAAGCTGTACTGATGCCCAATAGTCAGAAGCGGCTGTCATGTAATGAGCGCTTATGTCCAGAAATGCACACAGTAACGAAATCGGCTAATTTAACGAAATTTTGTCAAACTGAATGTTCGTTCGTGAATATCGATTCCATGATTTTGACGAATTTTAGTCAAATTTGTCAAATCGACGTTGATTTTGAAAACTTTTGCTAGTCAGAACTATATCCCACCAGATACGGTCCTATCAAATTGGCGGATTTGGCGATTAATTATGGCGAAGATTATGCAAATTGCTAATCATACAGGGTCCTAACTGATACTGGCAGATTTAAAGATTTTGGCGACTTCTTGCCAAAATCGAGAAAAGTGAGGCTTAGCTTTTTCCTCCAACTTCTACCTTTACGCATGGAAGCTAAGACAAGCTTTTCTTATGTATATAATTAGTCGGTAAAATTTTATCGCTTTCAAAATTTATTACTCCGCGGTTCTTATAAAAAGATCTTTTCCTTTTTCAACACGTCGCTTTTACTTAGATTGCAGGGTAAAAGAACAGATCGACTCCCTGGCTGCCTGATATGTTAGTCAATCCAGGGTTATCCATCTAAGCTTTATATTACAAAAAAAAAGTCTTCAATTATATAAATAATAGTCTCCATTTGGCGCGACGATATGCTCGGATATTTTTCCGGGGACTTTATCTGTTCCGAGAAGCGAATAGTTTTCCGAGAGCGTTGCTCGAGGAAAACTGTGAGTTTCGAGGAACAGATAATGTCCAACGACAAATCTCCGAGCATATTTTCGTGCCAAATGGAGACTACTGTGTTTATTATCCTTCAAACATTTTTCGCAACACGCGCGGTTTTGAAAATTAAGAAATATCTTCGGATATTCCCCAGTTTTAGCTGGGGTATATTCGGTCACTTGACGCGTTTAGGCCAATGGCGCGCGAGTAAAAATATTTGATGGATTATGTTATTTATAGTGGTCAATGCGCTTAGCTTCACCTAGCTAGTTCACAGGCATGCCACTTAAACTGAAAGAAGCACGTGATTCCATGTTGAAGCAGGTGTTTGCTTTCTTCCTTCTTAGAGAATGCTGCTGAATTTGCCTCCTCTATATAAAAGCCGCTGAAACTGTGGTTATTGCCATAGCAACGTACTACATCTGTTACGTTCCAGTAATCCTATTCTCCATTTGGCGCCGTAACAAGGAGGACAGAATCTCTAGCGTCTGGTTCCCTTTCATGACTTCCTTTTTCGTTTTCCTCTCCAGCACCCTTAACCCAATCATCTATGTATCACGAAACAGAAGAAGCAGGTCCGCCTTGAGACAATTTTTTAAAGATCCTTGCGGGGTAAGCGAATATCAAGAACAGCCTATCAGAAATACCCAGCAACGAAAAGAGAATCTGCAGTTTGAAAGAGAAGAAGTTAAGGATTGTACAGACACTGGAACATCCTTCAGGCCTGATGTAAACCCTGGGAGAGAGACAAGATGATCAAACGCATCTTACATTCAGAATGGCCGGTCGAGCAGAGTTTGGCCATGTGGGCTTAACGGTGGCACGACAAAGAATTATGATAGTTACCCTGACGCTGATGTTGATTTTGATGCTAATGCTGCTACCGCCGCTGCTTATGATGACAATCATGAGTTAAACGTGGTAAAAGTACCACGAGAGGAAAGGACGATAATCGCGACAACCTGGGCGAACAAGATGCCGTTACTTGGTAGCCCAGATGATGATGCTGAATTTAAGACTGATGCCGAGATTGAGGCCTATACTGATGCTGATGTTCGCGCTGAGGCGAGGGTGCTGCTGCTGCTTCCACTGCGACGGCGGCCGATGATTATGGCGCTGATGATGACGATGATGAGGCAAATAGCGTAACTTATGAGAAAACTGAAGAAGACATCGTCAGCCCTGACTAACAAGTTGCTGTCATTAGGCGGACCAGTTGCGGAAGAGAGAGGGAGTACAAGAAAATGATATGAAATTCCATGAGTAGCTAGATGGCAATTACGCTCACTCATTCTTATCTTCCTGGCTGGGGCATAAGGCCTTCACGAAATTACCTCTACCCGTCTCGCCGTCTCCGGCGATATATTCAGCCTCCGCCAGACCAAGCCAATTTCTTTGAGGTCTGCCGTCACAATTTTCCACTGGGTAGTCTTTGGCCTTCCTCTGTGCCGCTTACCTTGAGGGGTTGCGCTAAAGAGTTAGTACTAGATAATGATCTGAAGTTCCCTGGGTCGGTGGCAGATAGGAATCCCCAGCCAGCGACGACGCCACTGGGGAATAGCTCTTGTTTTTCATGGAAAACATCCGTTGTCTGATTTCATGGGATTTTAGTTTTCAGCCAATCGTTGTCCAGAACGGTCTCGCGCGTTCGTTTGAACTTGTCATAATATTCCATATTTTCATGTTTGTTACAATATTTCTTGCCGTGTTGAGGATTTTAGGCCAGCCTTGTCGTTTTGAGTTTAGCCTCTTCGCCATTTTAGCCTTTGTAATTTTCCGTTTATTTTAAGTTTCGGATTACATGGTTGGATCGTTAAATTGTTCGTTTGTTTTAGAGTTTAAGCCTACAATTTCTTATACACAGAGCGCCAATGCTTTTAAAAATTATCTATCTATTTCATTCTGTAATTCTCTCGATTTCCTCAGCTCTCTCATCACTTTACAAATTAAGGAAGCGCTTCATGAGTCACTGCGCATGCCAAAGTGAACAATATTCTGACAGAAACTCTGCAAAGTATAAATCTCCTTCAGCATGTTCCAAAACAAGTTTGAGTTTTGACGAGTTCCGTCTTTCTTTGTTCTCATATAAATGAAAAATAACACCACACGAACCAGTTGATCATGACCACCAAAATACAAAAGACGGCTCTGATCTTGGTCTTACGTTTTCTACCAAGCGCTCTTAACCCAGTCATCTATGTGGCCTGGGGACCAGAAGAGAAGACAAAATGGAGTTAGCATTCAGACGCTCCAACTGAACAGCCTAGGACTTTATGCACCATTTTAAGGCGAAAAGCAGTGATGATGAGGATAATGAGTCACACGGGATGGTAAAAGTAGTAGCACAGGAGTAAAGTGAAAAAAAGGCAACAGTGGCAACCTTCGCGAACTAGTTCCTGGGAGGCCAATTACCACAGGGAGAGGGTACAACATGAATCTTTAATCTTTAATCTTTATATGCACGGTGACAATTCAAGATTTACAACTACAATGAATACATTTATATCTATACGAAAACTAATCTTATCATTACAAATTCATCTAGTATATAATTTTAAAATTACGTACTAATAACAAACCTGTTCCCGATCATGAATGAACATGCGCAATCTTCTGGCTCGGTCGTAGATTTAGGAGCAAACGATGAGTGCAGCATACAGAAAAGCCCCTGAAGAGTTGGAACTTACCCTGGAGAAGGGGCCAGACCTTTATATGCCGAGCAGTAGAAATACTATTAGTCGCTTAATTAATGCTACGGAAACCGGGAAAGGCTTCGTCGGTATATGGACCACTTGGCCTGATGCAGACTTTACTTTCACCTGAAAATCGTTCAGTTGTTTACACTTGTGCCTCATTTACCTTTTTTTTTTTTTGCCCAAAACGTTGATCTTTTTGTCGCCAAAAGTGGCAAGGTGTAAGTAAACAGAACAAGCTTCCATATTTAAATAGTTTAGTTGACGTATGTGCCATTGCCATGGCAACATGACAGCTGGATTTATACATGCCTTTAAAATAGGGTTTTGTTTATTTGCAGAAAATTTAGTGTTTAGATTTTCTCCATCATTTGCATGCAGCAAACTTGTTCATATCTGAACGTTAGTAAAAATTTTGTAACAAATACTTCGAATTGTCCTTTGTCGAAGGATAACTGGATAAAGGAAGGATTTTCTTAATTGAATTTCAGATTTTTTGCCAATTATTCGCGTGCTTGTTTCTAAAATACTTTGCTGCAAAATTTTGTGAAATTCTAACGAGAGTTCGGAAATTTGTTGTAAAGCTATCTTTTGTGTTTCGTAGAGTAAATAGAGAGGAATCCCGCTTAACGGACACCAACTTAATACGGTCATCCACTTGACACGGACACCCACTTGATACGAACACCCACTTGATATGGACACCCCGTCAATACGGACACTCACTCAATACGGATACCCACTTAATACGGATACCCACTTATTACCTAAACCCACTTGAAACGGACACCCACTTACTACAGAAACTAGCCTCTTTCTGATCAGTCGCAAGAAAACGCAGAGAAAATAGACGGTTAACCAGAAATCCATGTTGTATTTACCGTTTTGCATCATATTTACCAGTTCCAAGCTTTTCGGCTTTTAGAGCCGTGATAAATTTCGCGCCCCCAAATAACTGGCGCGTTCTTCGGGGAATTTTAAAATGGAACAAATTTGGCTTTCAGCACAGATTGGAATTCCTAGACAAGATAATAAATAACCTGAGTATTTGATTCTAATAGTTTCTTGATTTATTTTTCTGTTCCCCAGTATTTGTTTCAAAGTCACTGATCTGAATCAGAACTGATCAAGTCTGAATCGAAAACATACTTCCCTTTTTGCACCAGGCTCGCGCGTCCAATTCAGTGTCGTATGCCACCGTAAGCGCGCGAATGAAAAGAGAAAGGTTTTTTTTTTTCTTAGGCTAGGTTCATTAATTTTGCGCTGTGAAATTATTTATTCGCACTTTTGGTATCTCTCTCGCACTTAGAATCCTAGTAACATGTGTAGTTCATGATATAGGATTTGAAAACAGTAACTCACAGCATAGCGCTAGTTTTAACTGCAATTACCTTCATTTGAATCTTTCAAAGGAACTTAGACCCGTTTTGCGCATCTTGTTTGGCCTAAATTTTTCAAGTTCGTCGTTTGTAACCCGTGTTAATCTTCGCCATTCTTAACCATCCTTGTTCCTTTATGATTCAGTATTATCTCTCCAGTGTTTTTCTATCTAAGTAAGCTATTATTTTCAGGTTTCCTTCAATTTAAAGTTAATTTTGTACGTGGCCAAAATAACTCAAAATACCGTGGCTAAGCTCTTTCAAAAAGCATTTGTAATTTCATGTCTCACTGAATGCAATAACGTTATGGCAATTATAGAGTCGTGCTTACAATGTAGTGTCATATTATGCGAATCGAAGAGCGGGTTGAAAGCTTCGATACATGCAGTCCGAACAAAACATTTATGTAAATTCTGCATATATTGAATTCATGGTCAATTGACCACTTAACGTTACCTGTCTAACAAAACATAATTCAAATCTCGTTATTATTTTTTTTTTAATTCTTCACAAGTTGTGGAAAACAAATCGCCTTGTGCCTGCTGACACCGGCGTTAAGTATTGCAGAACTCTGCCAAAAAGCAACCTTAATGATTAAAATGACTATTTTTTTCGCCCCTGCAAAACACAGACATAATTAGCTACCTCGCTACATAAATTAAACATACTGTGAATTATGAAATTAACTATTTCACTGCGACAGGGCCAGGCGGGAGCTGACAACTTTGATATTCCCTGTTTGAGAAGTATTTAATAGTCAAGTCGAAACATCTCAGCGCCCATTCGATATGTAAATGAGCATTTATGTCCTCCCCTCTTTTTTGCAAGTTGCTTATCATTATTTCCAGTTTACCAATGCTTTGTTAGAGCCTCGCAGTATTCAGAAATAAACTTCACCTCGCTAGATTCCTTCCCTGGCAAAAACTTGCTGTCCTTCTTAAATTAAAAGACGATTACTGGAGTTATCAGTAAACCTCGGTCCCTCTCCCTCAGTCACTAATTATTATTTCTACAACACCTCAAACACGAGGCATTACTAGTTTTGGTTTTGCCATATCGATGATACGAGATCTAACCGAGCAACAAAACAAAGTCACAGATATTTGAGCTCTAAATCAGTCGGCTAAGACATAGCTCCGGAGAAGTTTACTTGAACAAATTTAAAAAAATCTTCAGAATAACGATAAATTATCAGGGAACTTAATTAAAGTATAAATTGATTTAAAGAAGGCTCTAAACACAACTAGGCTTTTTGAATACTATATATGCACACTTTCACCGCCAATTAACAAAAAACCGTGCCGTAGAACGGCCGCGTTAAAAACTTAATGCTCTCTGTTAGCTTCCAGAAAAAGGAATTCTAAAGCTCATAACACAACGATAAGAAAGAAATCCACAAACTAAGCGAGGGTATAATGCCAGCATTTATATGATACCAACTGAGATTTTCTACACATTATGAACAATTAAGCAACGATGCGTTCAGGTTAGTTTATTGCTCAAATTTTTTTCAGCACGTGACAGAAAAAACGCAATTGGCCATTAATCTGGCACAGTCCTCACAGCTCAAAGTATACACGTTTAAATGAATTATTTCTCATACAAAAGTGCAATTTTTGCATGACTTTAACATATCCCCAACAGAGCTTCACAAAGTTTTCATAATATCACACAATAAAACGGCATTAATTAACACGTGGGCATATAGCACTATTTGGTTCACAAGAACAGGTCCCATACTGAATATTATCGGCCCACGTAGACTGGCCGAGCCAGAGTTTGTTTAGAAATGACTGCAACTTTAGGCCGCGCAATTGCGCAACCCACGGCTGGGATTCGAAAACTATATATGGTTTTAGACAAAGAAGCGTTTGATAATAAGTGTTTTGTTCAAAAGTTCAGTTTTTACAGAGTTATTATCATAAAGTTCTGTACATTGTAACCAGTCAATTGATTGTATTTTGACTCGCTTTAGGGGACTCTAAGACTCGTTCAATGTACAGCGAAACAACGAACACATTAAATTCAGGGCTCTAATAAGATTTATAGATGTACTTGGTTCATTATAATTTTACAACTGACTCTGAATTGGCGGTATATAAGTATATTATTATGTGTACAAGAATCCTGTAACCGTTTTCCATGTATATTGCTGTTTCCCACAAAATGCAAATCGCAATTTTAGTCAGCTTACCTTCTTCGAATTAATATTGATCATTTAAGTACAGTCTTTCGGCAGGCATCTCTAAGGAATAGATTTCTTAACTGTGAAAGATTACTTAATTATAGAATTTTAAAAAAGAAAATCATTAAGCACTATCTCTGTTGCCATGTTTGTACCTTTTTCAAAAGTTCCGTGCATAGAGCTGGTCTTTCATAAAACAATGCTGCAATGAGGTTTACGTTTACTGAACCAGTCGCGAATGTCAATCTTTTGAAACAAATTGTCAATTGTTTTTTTTTTTTTATGATGCCTTTTTAACCTGCTTAGAAGCACGCAGGCTTTATTCAGAACAGAGTATCTAACAGAAATTTGCCGAAGGAGATAAATAACAACATTATATTTATCGACGTGCAACTCCCACGGTCCAGTGAACATAAAAAAATGCCCGCCTTTTTACCGGAAATCGATGAAATGAGACTGCACATTGTCCGGACACGTGAACTGATTCATTTCTCGCGCGCGACTCATTTGTTTCACGGGCGCGACCTCTGTACTAACTAAAATCTTTCTTTTTATACTTGTATTCCTGAATTCCACCTTCAGCAAGGTCAAGAAAACAGCCGTATGATAATATTCCTTACTGACTGGTTGGGCATTTTGGGAAATATTTGGCTCCTCAAGTTTTACCTGAACGAACTCAAAACCTTGCATCATCTCGTGAGAAGGCAAAGATTTTCCTGTGTTTCCGGTTGTGCCACCCGGCAGTGTCCGTTTATCGCTCTTTTGTATATTCCCTAAGCTGCAGGTAGATAAGTTTGGAATCATGCTCGTAGGCGGCCTTTAGCCAATATTATCAGGCGCTTTATGTAAGATGCTCTTAAATATTAAAGATTCGATACCGTGGTTATCAAAGAGTCATAATCGCAGATATGGAAAACGCTGGTGTTTAATGAACCGCCCAAGATAAAAACGACATAAAAAGGCACCGTTAAAACATCCACTTGCACATTTTTTCCGCCCAAATGTTCCTACCGACCATTTCAGCCAGCAGAGAGTTGTTTCTAGTCTCACATATTCATTACTCCGGAAAGCTGCTTGAAAGAAAACGATCCATTCAGAAGATCATCTGGTATGGTGACGGTTCGAATGCAAATTTAAGGCAATTGTCATCTTTGAGCAAACAATTTTCTCACTTAGCCTCAGGCTGCAGATTTTCTTTAGTTCTTTCAGCGGGTAAATTCAATTGGAAGGGTTTTTTTTGTAATTCTCCGTTTTCCTTGCGGGTTAATTAAATTTGACGAAAACGACTTTTGTAGAACGCTCTCATAGCACTTGATAAAATACTAAGACTGAAAGATTTCGAATTAAAAAGGCTGAAAGCGTTCTTGGTTTCATGTCCTGCACTTGCATTGAATTTTCAAACAAAAACAAATGCATTACGAGAGGGGCCCCCATTAAGATGTATGAAGACTTAATGAGACAGGGCTTTTACCAATAATAAATCACAAACTCTGTTGACAACAGAAAGCACATTCGAAAATGGAACTGAAGTCCAAGGAGCCTTGCACATTCGATTGCAGTTCATTTGACTGTTTCATTAATGGTCTTGACTAGAGATGAAGAGCGAAAAGGAGAACGGCTCTCAGTTCTCTTATCGCGATTTTCCCATTATTTATTTCACATTTGTGGTTACTTCGACGGGAAACAAAGCGTTTGGGAAGAGTTTAAACAATGCCGCATTGAGTTCAAAAGAGTAAAATTTATTCGAAAGCAGCTTTTTGTGTGTCATTAATTAGCATACGGAACACCTGTCAATTGAATGTTTATTTCTCATCCACGCTAAACGTTTAAGCTCGATATCTTTGCATGCTCTTTCTAGCAATCGCCTGGCCAGATCGCAGCGACAACGAAGCAAAATCGTTCAATAAAAATTTCGCCTAATTTCGCTGATCAAAGAGCGATGCAATGCAACAAAAATTCACTTCAATCAGTACTTTCTTTATTTTTTTCCTTCTTGAATCTTCGCCATTCAGCTTTCGAAACCGAAATGAACGCAAAGCTAATATCTGAAATTTGAAACCCAAATCCAAAAGGACAGCATGCTTCAATGTTTACAAAAAACATCGCCACTTTCATTAGCGCTTGTGAGCTTTTTTGGTGTCGGTGTGTAACCTAAATTTGTCTAAACCACAGCGTACACAAATGCTCGACAAACGCGACATAGACAAATTAACAACGAAATTAAAACCTTGATATTGCTTTATAAGGCAGTGCATGAAGTTTTCAGTATAAATTGATGGGTCCTTTACATCTCTTTGGGTAAACTTTTACACTAATGAACACAGCCCGCGATAATTTCAAAGACTATTTTTAACAGGCATGTTTCCTGTACACCTCCACGTGTGATTTTTGTTTTGTCTCTCGAAATGCATTCATAATGACACTTTAGATCATCCTTAAAAACAATTACAGATGAAATCGTACGGCTGTATGACAGCGCTTATTCGACAGCCAATCACGTCGACGTAAAACGAGCCTGTCGTCTTTTTAAGATGCTGACTTATGAAATGCACGCCGAGACACTCTCAGACCGCGTTGTGAGCTATTACGTGATTGGCCGAATTTAATGATCGTTTTCAATAGAGACAATTGAGCCACATGTTTCATGGTTGTCCTTAGAGCAAGTTTTCAATATGCCTTTCAAACTCATTCACGGTGGCGATGATAAAGTGACAAAACAGCATTTCAAAGGCTCGCGGCCAGCTGCTCTCGATTGGGTCGCGACTATAATTGCAGGTCCGTGCGCGTATTAAGTTTGAACATCTATCGCTCAGGTGCCGGCGAGGTATTGTTAGAGTCAAAACCCGTACACTTCATTCACAAAGTTAATCACCTTGGATCGGAACAGTTGAAAATTTCTCGCTCCTGGAGCCGCGCTCACAGGGGATAGTTAGAAGTAAATTCGTTAAAACTGTCTTAAACCTGCACGCGACATTTCAGAGAATTGATCCACGAGCCGTAGATTGAACAATGGGCGATGAGATGCTGAGTGTATTTTACAGTGGAGATATTTTTTCCGGCCATGGGAAGATAACTGCTCGAGAAGTAGCAAGCCTGAAGGCGTCATTCGACGACAAGAGTGAATTTCGCCTTTTCAGAGACTATTTCGGTCTGATAAGACTTGTACAGAACGCTGAATTGGACGGCACAGGGCCAAGTAGGTTTGACAGTTTGTATCAGGATTTCACGTACACCAAAAGATCTCGTGTGGACAGCGTGGGCTCGGATCATTCCCTAACGAGTTCGAGCTCGGGAGGAAATAATGCAGATATCGAACTTTGCATCGAAACCTCCAAAGCACCGGGGACCTCGCTCGCGCCTGGCGCGCCAACGCGAAACGTCTCGAAGCGTAACGTGGAAAACAACAGTGAGGTCGCGAATCGCAACCGTAAAAATCGGGAGAGCAAGAAAAATAGAAACGCAAACGTTTGCGTTTTTTGCCGGAATAACGGCGAGAGCAAAAAGGTGTATTCAAGTCACGTTCTTAAAGATGCCGAAGGGAACACAACGTGCCCGATACTCCGAGCGTACACATGTCCTCTGTGCAAGGCGTCTGGGGACCAATCTCACACCATCAAGTACTGCCCGAAGAACAAAAACGCTACAAAACAGCAACAACAGCCAAGCCAAACGGTTTAAAGTGAGAACTGTCATTCTGTATGCAGAAATCTGCAGAGGATATGATTACACCCAGACTTAATTCACTTTCAAAGCAGCTTGGAACAACAACGCCTGGCTAAATTAAACTGAAACAAAAATCGGCGCCATTGTATAAATCACCACCGTCTAACAAGAAAAGACTAGTCCCTAAAATATTGAGCTTCTGAACATGGTAAACTAATCTAGATATATAAATAATACAGGAAGATTTTAAATATTGTAGATCTTTAACGTTTTTCTAAGGAGAAGTCCATTGTAAGGTTTTTGCTCCCGATAAGTCTATTCTAACAATGTAGATTTTCTAGAAGTTTTGTAACATTTCAGAATCTTTGATAAATTGTTACCAAAATGAGAAAATAACTTTCCGGGAGAATTACCAGCGTTGTGCATAACGAATTCGAAAACGTTGGCTGATTTTCTCAGCAATTGTGGGGGTAAATATGTCCCCCGTTTAAGATATGACCAAATTTAACAAGAATTTGAAATACGACTCATTATTGTATACCAAAATTTGCCAGTATATTCGGCATGTCAAAATTTAAACTCATATAAAATTAATATGTGTACAGGGAAAAGAAAAAATAATACTTAAACTTTGGTGCGACGAATTAGTTAATATTGCGGATACATTTTATTGATAACAAGCCAACACTTTCCACCCGGAAAAATTACATGATTTCTAACTGGGAAGCGAATCCTAGTCTAAGGTTTCTTTTCGTTTTATTTCAAAGCTTGACATCTTTCAAGGCTTTATAATTGCGGGGGTTGTGCTATAAAATAGCGTATTGAAGTTGTAATCCGTAAATAAGCGAATTATCATATGCCCTCTGTCAAATACGGTTTGTCCAACGAGGTTCCAAGCGAGCTCTCAAAGTTTGAAGGCATTGTTCGGTATAGAGTGAGTTTTTCTTTTACAATCCAGGTACAGTGAAATTGTGAATTTGATAGCGAAATGAGAACGGTGAATTAACGAAGCTTTCTAATGTCATTATACCAGTGGTAGTCGACATTATTCATGCAATAAAATTGAATTGTTTTCGAATGGCCTTGTTGTTGACTGAAACAACTCAACTTCACTTAAATTCTACTTTAATCTCTCTAGAATGTAAAACTCTTTTTTTTTCCATAGAAGCAACCCGCTCTTTTGAAACCGCCATAAATTAAAACGAAACTGCTGTTGGTTTATTGTTTATGTTATTTCTTAAGAGATTATCACGCTACAGTATACAAACTAGATGGCTTTTAGCATGAAAGTCGAACCAGCGAAGTGATTCGTTTCACGAAATCAAATGACTCTCTTGTCTCAGTACAGTTTCGAAACCGCACACAGTTCAAATAAATGATATTATTTCATGTAATTGTGTACTAACATTTAAGACTATGGGGGTTTCAAATGATCGACCTTACATAAAAATTGGCAGAAGTGAGACAGTGAAATGGACGAAAGGTGACAATGAATATTGAGTTCATTAAAAAGGGGTTCGCATTAAATTCAAGGTTAAATGATATGGATGGGTATTAAGGCTTCCCTTCACACGTTGTATTTATCCATATATACGCGCGCGAAATGGTTATAAAATAAGTTGAGCCTCGTGATCTCCCATAAATGCGTGTAAGCTGTCACTTTAGAAATCGAAACAAAAAGCCACGAGTTGGCGCTGACACAACAGAAGTGGTCACGAAAGGGGAAACTGAGGCTTTCAAAGCTTTTGTGTTGTGTGGTATAGTCAAGCACGTTCTCGAATGTTGAAGATAAAAAGCAAGAACCGTAGTTCTTTGAGGGAGCTCTGTTTGGGGTTTCAAAAGCTGAAGATCTTTGCCTAGCGTGTGATCCTAATGCAGTCATTATAGATGGTTATATACCTTGGTAGACAGTAAGGAACCGTTTCGTTATTAACAATAAATGAACACAGCTTGACGTTATAAGACACGAAAATGCACTGTGAGTAAAGAAAACGGGCAACATCCATTACTTTTAGCCTGGAAGAGAGCGCCAAAACTTGCTCAGGGAAGAGAAGACATTCCTTTCATGATGAGCGACAGGTTTGGTTAGATTTCGGCCAAGGAAACCATGAATATATAATCAAACGGAAAATTGAATGAATTTTGAGAGACGCCCTGTCCTTGAGACAGAAGAACTTCAGACAGATTTTAGTGCTAAACATTGCAGCGCGGTTGAAATGGAAATAAAAAACTATCACATTATTAAAATTTTACTTTTACTGTACTTTTCGAAAGGTTTGAATGATTAAACAAAATTTGTGAAAGTTTTGCTCTGAAATAATGCATTTCATTTCAAAAGCCTTATAACTGAATTTGATCGGGTGGAATTTGCTTTTGTGAAATTTGGCCATTATATTTGCATATGTATGTCTTGGATACTGATTCAAGTAAACATGGTCATTTGCTCTAAAACAAATCGAACTAAATGCATGTAGTGATATTGGTCCAGAGGTTTTAAGGAAACCAGCGGTGAAGGCACTTACGGTCGGCAAAAACCAATAAGCTGTTTGTGCGCGCGGCTGGCAACTTTATTGTTTATAATTGCGATTTTGACAACACGGTAGGCTCCAAAACATAGGAAGGAAGGGACAGAAAATCGCCTATCGTAAATTGAAGATTTAATTTATTGATCTCACGCACAAAAAGTAAAACAACAGCAGTTTTCCTAGGATCGGTTTCAGAATGAAAATTTACTTGATCGCGGAATGTTCGAGTCCAGCGCGCTGTTTTATATAGTTAGTTATTGGAACATTTCGCAACTTTCACTGGGTCAGACTTGGTATAATTAAGTTTGCTCAACTTCACCTCAAATTTTATTCTTCACATTGAAAATTACAATATTTGCACCCTCGGTCAGTTGTCAGCTCGCTCGATGTCATAAAGTACAAATTGTCCGTTAAAAGTGTGGACTTTTTGTCTGTCACTTAAAATTTAGTTAGCTGTCAGGTTTAAGCTATATAGTGAGGCCTTCAAGAAAATATATCGCATTTTAATTTCCTCGTAAAGACGTTTGTTCTAGCAGGAGAAAACTGCCCACCAATCTGTTATCGTACCGACAAAAGTAAATCAATGTTACAGATACAAATCTTGCGGCATAGAATATACATATTTACCGTCATTTCCTTGTTCAATAGCGTTGTCTTTCGATCGCTTTTTTACGAAATGTACAACTGATAGCGTACGTTGCGCGCATGCAGAATTATCTCTACTTGCATTTGCGAAGTTAAGGCAAACAAATATCGATAATATCTGACAGTTTTCGCGACCCGAAATATTGTTTATTCATTTTTTTTTTCGGGAAACAAGAGAAACAAATAAAGAATTGAGAAGGAAATGCTGTGGCGACTGTCATAGGCCTAGCAGGAAACAAATGTTCTTTCGCCGGAGGACAAAAAAATCGCTTCTGTAGTTTCTATTAGGAAAACGAAACAAAGACTTGAAATAGAGATTGGAGGCAACATGTTAACGGATTAAAATTAGACTTCAAATAATGTTCAAACTTTCTTTTAATTTCAACTTTTTGGGTCTTTTTGTTGTATTTTGGTTAAAAATGATGTACATGCCCCCTGAGGTAGCTTTAAAGAAGGCTAATATGAATTTCAGATGATTGCAAAACTGAAACAATCTAATGAAATATCACAAAAGCATGCAGGTGTTGTGAATTTGGAAATGTTTATATCAATAAATTTCCACCAAGACATGGTATAATCTTACAGTCTTTTGTCAAATATCTGGATGAAAATTAAAAAAAAAAAGCTATCAATTAAAGCTTTCTTAGAGCCTTGCAAATAAAAACGACAAACATTAAAAAGCTTACAAATGTTTATTTGGTCCTGCCGTTTTCCTTTAGCACAGAGTGCGTTTATGGGTTAAAACAATTTTCCCATCCATTATCTCGCCAAGAGGTCGCAATATCATTCAAAGGACATTTCTAAGATGAGTTAATGATGTAAACAAACTTACCGACTGCAATTTTCATAGATTTCCAAATGGAGGAAAAAAACAATTTGCAGACTGATCACTGCATAAATTCGACGCTTTGGGAATTTGCCAGGCTCCGTTTCCGCTGCTTTCTCGGGTCCGGCCGCGTTCCTCCCCGAAATCGTCTCATTTCCCAAAACAGCGGCTGGTATCCGAGACTTCAACTAATTTGCCTTCTAGTCTCTACGGATATTTTTGGATGATATTTGCTGGTATAATCCCTTTAGTGGGACACACGGATTTTTATTTTCCAAAAATCCGACGATTGTGTTTTTTTTCCGGTGAGGCATTCTTTTTTTGTGAAAAAAAGACATATCATATGATTATTGTGTTTTAAAACGCTAAGCTGTATGTTTCGTCGTTTGCACATAATACGTTAAGATCATGTATGTTTCTTACTGTTTTCTGATCGATCGCAAAATTAAAACTAGCCCAAGACCGTCATTTTATTTTTAATTTTTACTTTTTTCCATTTCAAACAGTTTCACGCATAGAATCAACATGAAAACATGAACATGAGATAAAAAATGAATCAACATGAGAAAGGTTTCTTATTTTGTCTAGACCACTTAAATTTCTTACACGAATCCGGCTGTTCCTAGCCGAGCTTTCGCGTTTACCCGGAGGAAAAAGTTAGTCCGTAGAAACGTTTTTATATATTTTATTGCGACAATTTGCGGCTTAGCCGGCATTGGAAATTTCAAAATTGATTTGTATCTTCATTTGCATCAGTTGCAAGATGCAAGTTTAATTTGCACACAGCCCTTGATATATCTTTTAATTCTTTTTATTGTAAAGTTGTTGGCTCTGATATTGGGAATCCGCCTCGTGACAGTAGACATGACGCCCTGATCTGAGAAGATACATATCATGAGCCCGCGAACCACTGTTATGTCGCAAAGATCATCAGTCATTTCTCTGAGCAAAATAATCATTTTCCCAAAAACATTTTCCTTCAAAAAATGTTCTTCTGTAAACTATTTTCTGTCAGTTTTTTTCCGTTTAATGACAGTTCCTAAAGGCTATTTGCAAAATATCTTTTTCAACCGAGAAATTTTCCTCCAAAACTTTTTCCACCAGAATCTTTGATCTGTTCCAAGAAATATCTTCAAAAAATCTTAGTACACGAAATTAAATATTTTCTTTCGAACTTCTTCCGCTTAATGCTATTTTTCCTGACTCTATTCACAGCCTACATTACAAAATTAATTACAGTTGGAGAAACTTTTTGACAAAGAGCAATTCTAAAACTCTCTTAGTCCTGCAAAAGACCTTTTCTTCAAAGCCGTTTGTTTAGCCAAAAACGTCGCGAAAATCCATTACAAACATACATTATGCTGACACATTGCGCTGAAGGGAGTTCTAGAACTCCACGTGGGGTCGAACTAATTTGCTGAAGATGTCATTGCCCTCGTTAAGGAACAAGTCGTGAATTAGCATTTTTGGCACTTTATTTACCAATAGCACGGCGGTTATAATTGAAGATCAAATTTACTTGTACCAGTTGGCAATGTAAACTATCAAGCTCAGCAAACTGGAAGCCAAAAAGCTATCAGATAATTCAAAGAGAGGATGATGGTCCATCTAAGCCACGTGACGGTTTGCACATCTTGAAAAGTTAAGCCTAAATTTTTCAAGTTCGTCATCTGTAATCCGTGCTAATCTTCTTCATCCCAAACCATCCTTGTTCCTCCATGGTTTATAATTGTTTCTTGGTGCTTTTCTATCTTAGTAATTACTGTTTTCAGGTTTCCTTAAATTTGGAGGTATAATTTTGTGCGTGAACAAAATCACTCAAAATAACGTGACTGAGCTCCTTTAAAGACATCCGTCGATCCGACAAAAAAGAGAGAGCCATGGAGAGAGAAAGTTATCCCAGAACTGTTAACACATAAAGCCTGGTTAAAGTTTTAGCTTCTTTGTTTAAGAGGATGTGCCGGCTGATGACACCGTATTACACCTCACTGTTACCCAAAAAAGATTCTGTACAGATCCATTCTAAATATATTTTCCAATGAATTCTAATTCTTGCCATTTTATTTCTCTTTTATCAAAATCCGTTCCCGGAAAACATTTTCCCAACTATCTGTTTCAACTATGTTTTACCAGAAGATCTGTTCCGGATATATTTTCCCAAAAACTTCGGTCCAATCCATTTTTTTCTGAACCCGTTACTGATCGCTCAGACATCCTTTCCCGGCGGCAGCATTTAACCATAACTCTTTCCAACAACATACATTTTACCAAGATTCGTCCCTATAATATCGTCTAAAACACACATTTTGTTCCACAGAAACTTTCATTTCAAAAGCTGTTTAAGGACACTAGTGCAGTCTTCAGTAACAAAATTCTTCACAAGTTTAATTAGGTTTATAGCTAAACACAAAATCGATGAAATTTTTAGAAGGATATTTTAGTTAGGAAAAATACATACTCCCTTCTGTGATACCGAGTTCGGAATAAATTTGAAAAGCAGCTTATTTCTCCGGTTAGGCCTACCGTCCACACTAACCCGTCACGATAACTGAGCCTTTTCGAAAACGCTCTTTAAACGGGAGGAGTTTTCTTGTGGACGACTGAAACATATTGCAAACGGAGTGTATTCACGATAGTCGTGTGATTTCTCTAACCGACTTTTCCTCAAACACAAATCCAAAATGACCCGGTGATTGTTACGTTTTTAAATTCCCCCGGCGTAGTATGGATGAGCCTAAACACTGGAGTCAAATAAATGTTAAATCTATACAATCAATACCGAGCTAAAAAAAAAAAAAAATGTCCCAAAACGGTAGGGACATCGTTCCCCGCGTTTGGCGCTATTGCAAACACGTGCCTTCCTTCCAATTTTGATTGGTTTAGAGAAAATTTCCATTTGCTTTGATACGGGGCAGATGTTTTCATTCGATTTGGTTTCGTTGAGCAGTCAAAAGCTATATTACTAATTCCCTCCTAGCTATTTATCTTTAATCAAAGGGCTCAGTCGCATCTAGGATACTACACGTCAACTTAGATCCAGTATTAATAGAATTCTGAATCAAGTCAAGAGATCAGAATGAGATAAAATTCTGTATTGGACCCTTCAGCAAATCATTCGAGTCATAATATCAGATAGGGTACAAGAAGAATTTGCATAACTTATTTGTCGTTTGTTACAATGAAGTTCGAAAAAGTGTCAATGACTATAGGAGCAACCAAAACTTTTAACTCTAAGCCCTACAATTCGCCATCTTATGTCGGTCAAGTTTCAAGGCTATCTTATTCAGTAGTCAATTAATCAAAGATGGTTTTTATACTTTCATATCACAGAGTTCTACGTCTCAGCGACAAAGGCCTCTTAACATAGTAAAGTATCAAAGCCATGGTTACTATTCCTTGTATACTCCAAAGAGCAATGCAACCGCAAAAATGTCCCCTTTACTGTAAGTGGTCGACGCGAAGTTGTCCACAGTGTGATCCCACAAACATTGGCTTGCCACTCGCATACCCTGTCCGCTTATAGAACCGATATGCACAAGACATATCAACTTGCAGCGCTCAAAGTTCAACCATTTGACCCGTTGTTTGATATCTTCGCAAACTTGGGTCGTGAGCGCGCGGCATTTGACGGAGTCGTAGTTGTCAAGGCTGTCTAAGCTCTCCTCGAAAGCTTCGTCCATAATTTTCTTGACGATTTGCGGCCGGAACTTTCTGTCGGCCTGTGGTGCCATTCGGTAGGTCGGCAGGACTTCGGTTGGCTTGTTTCTGGAAGCTGATGTGTCAGTGTGGTCGAATCTTGGCGAGATGTTGCTTGAAACCTTCCGACTTGAAGAGTACAGGAACGGGGAGACGGTACTGGATGGTTTTCTTCGCTCGCTCCTGTCAGGAGAAAAAGCATTTGACGCGGCAGAGTTTTGTGAGGTATTCGTAGATGATCTTTGTCTTCCCTCATGAGTATCACCCTGAGCAGAAGACACTGACAGAGAAGGTGGACGATGTTCTGCGGTACTAACGCGATGGCTGTGTGACTCCATGGTTGTTTAGACCACAATACTAAAGTTAAAAATAGAAATAATGGGCGAAACGTTTGCTTTCACCGTGCGTGTAATCAAATTGCAAATGACATCTCCTCGAATTCATAAAATTCAAGCCACTTTGTTTGCAGTATTTGGTGATAATACGACAGTTTTCGCTCGCTCGGAAACTTAGAAACTTCCTTGCTTTGTAAAAGCTTATCTCTGACAAGAATCCGTCTGGGAGTAACTTCTTTTTACAGCGCTGATCTTTGATCAGGTTGTAAAACATCGGTTAGATAATCTGCTTATCTTCATGTAAACTCCACGGTTGCCAGGCAATACTAAATGAAAAGTCAACGCTTCATTTTTAAAATAAATGAATGTTTACTTAACTTGGTCAAATGATCGAGCGAATATTGTGCATTCAGTACACACATACAAAATATGCAGATGTAATACAGCTTTCAGCCTACGTAACATTCTCTCTAAAAGGCGCTAAATTCACTACAGAAACAAGAAAACTAACCTCTTTAAATGATGGTAGTGCTAATTGCCAGAATGCTCTCTCTTGTTATCAGTTGGGTTGGGTATTTTTATCGATTAACTACAATTTTCCATGTGTGTAGAATAAAATAATTCAAAGCAGTTTGAACACTGTTTGTTTAGCGTGGGTGAAGGCAGGCCGGATGAACAAAAGCGTCATGAATAACCACTACAACGACAAAACAATGGGCGTCGCTTGAAAGACTTTTGTGAATACCTTAATTTAATGGAAATTGCGAACCGTTTTTCTTTTGATTCTGTCAAAGCCAATATCGAAAAAAGACAAAAAGGCTTTGAAGTAGGCACGACAATTAATTTATCAAAGAAATTTTTGCTATTATTGTTTGCTAATTATGAACTCGTTGCAGTCCCTCAAAACAAAGACCTGTGATCTGCAGATGGTTCTATTCTCATCCAACTGCAATTTAAAGTTTCCAAACTGACAGATTTTGTTGCGCTAAAATTTCAGCTGCAAGTTTTTTACTCTAATCATACTCCAGTCAAAGCTTTTTTGTCAGCTTTATGCGTTCTCTCAATTAACAATTTACAACTTCTAATTACACGGGGAATCCCTTAATTCTAAACATCGTTTTCCTCTTTTGAGGTTTTCAGCCATTCAGTTAGTGCAGCGCTCTTTAAACAAAGAGCAAAAGGAAGCAAATATCGGATGAAGTTTCCTTCATACCACTGATCAAAGTCGATTCAAGTGTCATCAGTAGATGTTTCATGGACACTCTAACGCTTATTACTAAATGCCGAATCGTTTTTCTTTTTTCCTGTTTCGCGCCGTTACAAAGGAAATGCAATGATTAATTGACACAAGCTATATACAGTGGGGAGAAAATCAATTGCCCAGATTGCAAGAAAAGCTGGCATTTTGGGTCGACATTCCTAAACATTTCGCATGCATGCAGTCTGGCAATTCAGCGAATGGTGTACGTATTCGACTTTCACGTTGCAAACTATTTTCTTTCCTTTCAATCCTTTTTTTTTTTCTTTTTTTCCCATCGGGTTCATTTTTTTTCTGAATGAAGCTCGTGAAATAAGAGCAGCGCTCTTAAATCTCATAGATACTTATAGCACTGTTTGCCATTTTTTTCCTGTCTTATAGTCTAGCTTTTTTTCTTCCAATCTAGATCTCAGATACTCAAATGCGGAGACTATTTCTTTAAGAAAGACGGGCCGAGACCAGATCATCACTTCTATTATTTTTGCAGTCGTTAAAACAGCCACCTTATAAAAGAAAAATAAAATGGTAATTGGGACACTATAAATTAAGAGACAAATAATGTGAATAGAACTGAAGTTGTTAAAAATTCCAAGTGGTTGGAGCTGACCAGTTGCCCTTTTTCAAAACGTGGAGGAGTTAAATTCGGGACCTCCAAGCCTTATATAAGATAGAAGATACTCGTTTGATTTGCTTAAGGTCATTCCGCTGAAATAGAACCTACACTGAGATTTTTGTGAAACTTTGCCTATCGATTGTTTATATTATAG